CTAGGTTTGAGAATGGGACAGGTTTTGTATTAAAGAAGATTGTCAAGTAGTCTTTATGGAGAAAGTAAATTTGGACGAGGAGTCTAAACTCTCTTGGGTGACTCAGTTGGTTAAGCATCTGATTTTTGATCCTCAGCTCAGGTCTTGATCTCAGGGTGGTGAGTTCAAGCCCTGCACTGGGCTCCGTGCTGTACATGAAGCCTATTTAAAAGTGAAATGAAATAAAGACTCTCTTGCTCATGTTTTATGTCATAGAATTATAAAAACATTATGTAATGTTCACATCTTTTAAAGATTTTATTTTTAAGTAACCTCTACACACCCAATGTGGGGCCTTGAACTCACAACCCTGAGATCAAGAGTCACATGTCTTCGAACTGAGCCAGCTAGGTGCCCTGGTTATAGCTTACTTCTGAGTAGAATAAAACTCTTGAGTCTTGATTATCACCTGTCTGTAGGTCCTCTGATATAAGCTTTGCATTTTGAAGCAAGGAAGTAGGGAGCTATTAATTTGTCTGGACTGTAACTACTGTGAACTTGGCTTGCACTATGGTGGGGCTCTAAGGTCAGTAGATCATAAAGGTGGAAGTGAGGAGACTACATTTTCCAATATCTCAGAAGGAGTCAGAAACTGTAGACCAGGACTCCGGTATTACTGTAAGAACTTTGCAAGGTGTGTATCTTCCCCGCATTTCATTATAGTTTTCTGTTTGTCTATAGTGATTGTCAGCAAAACAAAAACAAGAAAGATCTGTGTGCATGTGTGCAAAGGCAATAAAGAATAGGGAATATAAGTAGTTGACTTCCTCCCATGACCCAGCCAAGCTTAAGGGAAGGAAGAAAGATTTCAAGTAACAAAGTGGTTCAGTTACACAGGTATTTCAACTGGTAGTTTTACTTCTTTTTCTTTCTTGTTTTTTTTCTTTGTTGTTTTTTTTTTTTTTTTTTTTTTTTTTTTTTTTTTAAGTAAGCTCTATGCCCAATGTGGGGCTTGAACTCACAACCCCAAGATCAAGAGTTGCATGCTGTTTCAACTGAGCCAGCCAGGCACCCCTAAAGTTTTACTTCTTAAGCTGCGTGGTCTATCCATAAGGGTTGTTTGTTAAATTTTTGTTTTGAATAACTTCAAACAGAAAAGTTGCACTAGCTCCATCCCAGCGCCACTTCCAGGATCCAGTCAGAGTTGGATGTGGCATTTAGTTGTCCTGTTGCCTTAGTGTCCTTTCATCTGGAACAGTTTTTTAGCCTTTTCTGTCTGTCATGACTGTAACACTTTTGAAGAGTCAAGCCTGATTTTATAATGACCCTTTTTTGATTCTTTTGCAGTAGTTTCCTGATCATTTCCTCATGGTTAGATTTAGGTTATACATTTTTCATAGAAATACTATGTAAATGGTGTGCTTATTTTAGTGCATCACATCACAAGTTGATAAATCATACAGAATATTCAAAAATTGGACTTTGAAGATACTGTAGAAATAACTTTATTTTTATTTCCTTTTCATATATACAAAATAGTGATATATGATAAATCTGAGCTTTAAATAGCTCTGTGATACACATCAAATAAAAATTCTAAGAAAGTGTTGTCATTGTTTAAGTGGCATTTTTCTTTTTTGGTGTGATGTAAGATAATGTTTTTTAAACAGCATCTTAGATTCAATTAAATATATTTTTAATTCCTTCTATTGGCTACTCTTCTATTACAGATGGTTAACAATTTTAATATAAAAATATATTTTTATATTAGAAATATAATCATGGGGCGCCTGGGTGGCTCAGTTGGTTGAGCGTCCAACTCTTGGGTTTGGCTCAGGTCATGATCTCGAGGTTTCATGAGTTCAAGCCCCACATGACCCCCTGCTTGGGATTCTCTCTCTCTGTTCCTCCCCAACTCACGCTGTCTCTCTCTCTCTCAAAATAAATAAACTTAAAAAAATTTTTTTAGGTGCGCCTGGGTGGCTCAGTCGGTTAAGCAGCCGACTTCGGCTCAGGTCATGATCTTGCGGTCCGTGAGTTCGAGCCCCGTGTCGGGCTCTGTGCTGACAGCTCAGAGCCTGGAGCCTGTTTCAGATTCTGTGTCTCCCTCTCTCTGACCCTCCCCCCATTCATGCTCTGTCTCTCTCTGTCTCAAAAATAAATAAACGTAAAAAAAAATTTTTTTTTTAATTTTTTTTTAAAGAATATAATTGTAAACAAACAGACATGGTCTTGTCTCTGTACTGTAGTAGTTTCCTATTATTGCCATAACAAATTGCCACAAACTTAGTGGCTTTAAACAATATAGATTTATTATCTGGAAGCTCTGGAGACTAGAAATCTGAAAGTCAAGGTATTGGCAGGGCTGTTATCTTTCTGGAGGCTCTAGGGAAGAACTCACTTCCTTGCCTACTCTGGCTTCTGGAAACTGCCCGCATTCCTTGGCTCTTGACCCTGCACCTCCATCTTCAAAGCTAGTAGTATCGTATCCTCAAGTTTCTCTCTCTCTGATTCTCCTACTTCCCTTTTTTATCTATAAGGATCCTCCTGATGATTACATTGGGCACACCCACCAATACACTTACATTGTGATCTCACCATCACAAAATCCTTAATTTAATCACATCTGCAAAGTCCTTTTTGCCATGTAAGAAATCATTTTCATAGGTTCCAGCGATTAGGATATAGATCCCGTCCTAGGCACGTTATTCTGCCTACCACAGGCTCTGTCCTCATGGAATTAATACTCTAGAAAATCAAATAGGGAATTTCTGTAGATTTTGCCGAAAGTAATCAGAAGAAGCCAGGGAAGTAGGAGGAGAACAAAAAAATACTGGATCACAGAACCAAACGGAATTCTAGGAGCATAGAAAAGTGCCCATTGGGGTTTATAAGTACTGGTTATCCTGGCAAGAAGTTTCAAGATAGTATAGTAATGGAGTGGGAATCCAGACTGAGGTGTGCTAAAAACTTCAAAGAGAGCTGAGAAAGTAGAAATAGTGATTGTAGGCAAACCTTTCAAAACATTTGGTTGGGAAAAAGAGACCATGGTTTCATTGCAAATATCCTTAGTGGTCTTTTTATGTAAGTCTCTTATGCAAGTCTTTACCAGAAGTAAAGTGGATGATGAATTTTTTTTTTTTAGTAAAAGAATGAGGTTTGTTTTCGTTTTTGTTTTTTTTTTTAAATATTTATTTTTGAAGGAGAGAGAGAGAGAGTGAGAGAGCAGAGGAGGGGCAGAGAGAGAAGGAGACACGGAATCTGAAGCAGGCCCCAGGCTCTGAGCTGTCAGCACAGAGCCCAATGTGGGGCTCGAACCCATGAATCGTGAGATCATGACCTGAGCCAAAGTCAGATGCTTAACCAGCTGAGCCACCCATGTGCCCCAAAGAATGAGTATTTTTATAGCAGCAGTTCCATATCACTTATTTGCTAAAAAATTCATAATAGTTCTCCATAACTCACAAGCAATCATCTATATAGATGAGCTTTTTACTCAGTGCCTTTCACTGTTTGTAAATACATCATACTTAAGTTCTCTCACTATAATATCTGATGGAAAAAAGTCTCTTCAACAAATGGTGTTGGGAAAATTGGACAGCAACATGCAGAAGAATGAAACTGGACCACTTTCTTATACCATACACAAATAAATTAAAAATGGATGAAAGATCTAAATGTAAGATCAAAATCCCAGAGGAGAACACGGGCAGCAACCTCTTTGACCTCAGCCAGAGCATCTCCTTACTAGACATATCTCCAGAGGCAAGAGAAATAAAAGCAAACATATGAACTATTGGGACTTCAACATTAAAAGCTTCTGCACAGCTCAGGAAACAATCAACAAAACTAAAGTGCAACTTATGGAATGGGAGAAGATATTTACAAATGATATATCTGATAAAGGGTTAGATTCCAAAATCTATAAAGAGCTTAACAACTCAACACCCAAAAAACAAATAACCAGTTAAGAAATGGGCAGAAGACATGAACAGACACTTTTCCAAAGAAGACATCCAGATGGCCAACAGACACGTGAAAAGATGCTCAACATCACTCATCATCAGGGAAATACACATCAAAACCATGAGATACCACCTCACACGTGTCAGAATGGCTAAAATTAACAACGCAAGAAACAACAGGTGTTGGCAGGAATGTGGAGAAAGGGGAACCCTTTTGTACTGTTGGTGGGAATGCAAACTGGAGAACAGTATGGAGATCACTAAAGAAAACTAAAAATAGAACTACCCTACATTCTAGCAATTGCACTATTAGGTATTTACCCAAAGGATATAAAAATACAGATTTGAAGAGGTACATGCACTCTAATGTTTATAGCAACATTATCAACAATAGCTGAACTATGGAGAGAACCCAAATGTCCGTTGACTGATGAACAGGTAAGGAAGGTGGTATGTGTGTACCACACCACGCTATATACCACCTTCTTTATATATGTGTATACACACACATACACATACATACATACATACATATATACACAATGGAATATTACTCAGCCATCAAAAATAATGAAATCTTGCCATTTGCAATGACGTAATGGAGCTAGAATGTATTATGCTAGTAAAATAAGTCCAAGAAAGACAAATACCATATGGTTTCACTTCTGTGGAATTTAAGAAACAAAACAGATGAACATATGGGAAGGTGAGGGAAAAGAGGAGAGAGGAAAACAAACCACAAGAGACTCTTAAAGATGGAGAACAAACTATAAGTTGATAGATGGAGGTGGGTGGGAGATAGGCTAGATAGGTGATGGGTATTAAGGAGGGCACTGGTTCTGATGAGCACTGGGTGTTGTATTAAATGATTAATCACTGAATTCTCTGGAAACCATTATTGCACTGTATGTTAACTAAAATTTAAATATAAAGTTAAGAAAAAAAGTTCTCTTATTATAATAAATCTTGTGCTTCAGCTGGGCTGGTCCTACACCTCTTTACTCCTATTTCTTTTCTGCCACTGGAATGGTTTTTTCGTATTTCTTCATCCTACTTTCCAGGAACCCAGCCTCACTGTCCAACCTCCCACAACCTCTTCTGTCTTAGAATTTCAGCAGCAGTTCTCATACATTTCTTTTATTCTTTGTTCCTGATTTTCTACCTCAGACAGATGTGCTATAACAATGAAAGCAATCACCTGATTTTCACTATACTCTACTTCGAAAGACTCAGACTTAGAGAAAATGAAAGTGAGACAATACATGGAGATAGACTTTTGTAACAAGTAAAAGCCAATACTTTATTCTTTTTTTCCAAGAAATTTTCCTAATTCTTTTTATTTTATTTTTGTTGTTTTGAGAGAGAGGGTGGAAGTGAAAGAGGGGCATGGCAGAAAGAGACAATCCCATGAGGGAGAGAGAGACACACACACACAAGTAGGGCTCACCTAAAGTGGGGCTTGTGTTCACCCAAAGTGAGGCTTGTGCATACCTGAAGCAGAGCTGGAACTCACCCTATGTGGGACTCAAGTTCATGAACCTTGAGATTGAGCCCTGAGCTGAAGTCAGATGCTTAACCGACTGAGCTACCCAGGCATCCCATTCCCTAATTCTTTTTAAGCCATAACACATGAACAAGAAATGTAAAATTAGGGAGATTTCATAATTACTAGCAGGTTCTCTGTATTTACTTTCATTGGCAAATAATCCTCGTGGTCTAGTGGTTAGGATCCGGCGCTCTCATTGGCAAATAAAAAGAAATCTTGATTAATTCTACTTTAATCATTTTATAATTTTTTAAGAATACTGTAAGATAAAGTACATAGAATTATTATTGTAAGCATATTTTGATTAATTTCTTTTCTCTTTGAAGGTCCAAGGGATGTCCTTCATAGCAGCAGTTCTTATTCTCAATTTGGAAGAGGCAGATGCCTTCATTGCGTTTGCAAATCTCCTCAATAAGCCCTGCCAGTTGGCCTTTTTTCGTGTGGATCACAGCATGGTATGAACATTTGGAATGAATCGTATTTTCCTTTAATTGTTGGTTTCTATAGTCTGAATGCTCTTTTGGAGGGAAAAACAGTAATTGGAAGACTAAAATAAGTTTTTCATTGAATTACGGTTTTGCAAATGCTTGATGAAAAGACTCAGAAAGAGGTGCTAAGCAAGACTTTTTGTTAATTTGTTATTAGGGATTTAATTTCTTTACTTCTAGAGTATACTCTAGTATACTCTTTAATAACTTTATTGATATTTCTATCTTTAGATGTTGAAATATTTTGCAACGTTTGAAGTATTTTTTGAAGAAAATCTCTCCAAACTATTTCTTCATTTTAAATCTTACAGTCTTACACCAGACATATACTTGATAGACTGGTAAGTCATAACATACATAAAATATAATTAAAAATAAAAAACCAAGTAGGGGCACGTGGGTGGCCCAGTCAGTTAAATGTCCGACTTTGGCTCAGGTCATGATCTCATAGTTTGTGGGTTTAAGCCCCACATCAGGCTTTGTGCTGACAGCTCAGAGCCTGGAGCCTGCTTCAGATTCTATGTCTCCCTCTTTCTCTCTGCCCCTCCCTTGCTTGTGCGCGCGCTCTCTCAAAAATAAAATACTTAAAAAAAAAACTTTTTGTGTAATTCAGGAACTAAAGTAAATCTCATGTACAGGATTATACATCTGAAAACTTCTTCCCTTACAAATAGAGAAATTCACATTTTTGTGGGGAAGCATTTGATTAAGAACATGGGACTCTGGGCTGAAATGAGAATCCCTCAGTTTGTATTTTAGTCTCTTATATAGAAAATGAGAATAATAATATCTATATCTTAAGTTGGTATGAGGGTGTTTTACATGGATTATCTCATTCAATGCCTAGTACATACTACATATACTCTGAGAAAGAGAGCCATTTCTTTATTCTTCACACACAAGAGCTTGTGATAGTTACGATAGTGGGTGTTTTTTTTGAAGGCTTGGTTTTTTCAAGGCTTTATCCAGCTTTTTGACAGAAGAGTGTAGCCTTATTTAGGCGCTAATGCCTTTTTTTTCAACTTTCCCATTTCAACACTTCCTTGCCAAAGACTCTGGTGAGCCCGTTGATTACAGAACGGAGGGGTGGTGAATTTTGCCAAAGGGATGGTGCAGTTATCTTAAGATAGGTTGTTAAGAGTATGTATGAAACATTCAACCCTTAAATTCTAATCACCAAATTCAGTGGATTTCATGTAAATGATCCTAAGTTTTAATATAGAAAAATAAATAATTAATGGCTTTGATCAAATATGCTGTCTTACCAGTTTTTGGGGGCTTCTTTTATTTAAGATTTTTTTAAAGCTTATTTTTCAGTGTGTTCTCATCCATTCCCACTAGGAACATTAGAGTTCCTCTGGGAAGGATCCAAGATAATGGGGGAGAAGAAAGGTTTTATATCATGAGACCCAGAGGACCAAGATCAAATACTCAGAGGGGGAAGGGGGGAAAATACTCAATTTTCAGGCCTGAGGAGTGTCAACAGGAGACAAACCAGGATCACAATTAATAATAGGGAGCAGGATGGAACCAATAATGAGTGAGTACTGTGTACTAGAAACTTCCTAGACAGTGGTAGTGCCATTCTCTCTCTCATTTTGAGCAATGAATTACTATTCTCTGTACTACCAAGGGCATGCTTTTTGTTGTGCAATTAAATATGTGTTTATAATGTAAGAAATAGACATGGTTTTTGTTTCACTGCCTCTGTTGAACTTACTACATACAAATCCCACAATCGATTATGCAAGAGAAAAGAGGAATAAATAAGTGGCAGTGCTAAATAGGGTGGGAGCCTTTAGTTCTCTTCCTCAGGTTTCATCAGCACTACCTCAAATAAACACAATCTTTGTAAAAAAAAAAAAAAAAATGTGTATTTTGTGGGTGCCTGGCTGGCTCAGTATGTAGAGCATGCGACTCTTGATCTTGGGGTTGTAAGTTTGAGCCCCATGTTGGTTGTAGAGATTAGTTAAAAATAAAATCTTAAAAAAAAAAAAAAAAATGTGTGCTTTGCCAAGGCAGCTTCAAGAAGAGTTCTCTAGCACCTACTCTCCTATTTCCCCAACCAGAATGCCGCCCCGAAGCACCACTGGATAAAGAATTACATGATCAGACATTGTCAGAAAGGATGGGAAAAACCGTTTTGGTGATTCTGTTGGGAGCGTATACATGCTCCAAAAGAAGTAGTAAGTAAAGTTTGGTAAAGGGAAAAACGAAAACCCAGTAGATAGATGTCTGTGGTAGGAGAAGAGAGACAAGTCAGACATTATGATTTTTAGGTTAATAGATACTTGGGTTCCTCATACAATAATAAGTAACTTTTTTCAGCATTTCTTATGTGCCAGGCACTGTTCTAAATACTTTACATTTATTCCTTTAATTTTCAAAACAATCCTGAGAGGTAGGTAATATCATTCTTTGTTTACTAATGAGGAAACTGAGGCACAGCAAGGGTGGATATCTTGCTCAAGGTAACACTACTAATGTCAAACTCAGATATTATGGTTTCAAAGACCATATCCTTAACTACTAGGTGATTTTGTCACTCTAATATGTGTTAAGCCATATCTCTATGGAAGGTTGTAAATTCACATAATTTCGTTATTTGTTACTTTCCCACTGCTCAAGTTTTTGAAAGAAGGAGTTATATCTTATTTGCCTTTTTATCCCTAATTAAGCACTGTTGTTTTTATATAGAGATGTTTAATGAGTGAATGGATAAATGAATGAAAAATTTCAATGACTATTTCCCCCCTAATTTTAGGATCTTCACACTGTATAGCAAATCACTCCCACTTGATCTGGCCTGTAGAGTCTGGGATGTATTTTGCAGAGATGGGGAGGAATTTTTATTTAGGACTGGATTAGGAATCCTCCGATTATATGAAGATATTCTTCTACAAATGGACTTTATTCATATAGCACAGTTCCTAACTAAATTGCCAGAAGATATCACATCAGAAAAGCTGTTCAACTGTATTGCAGCCATTCAGATGCAGAATAGCACCAAAAAATGGACTCAGGTAGAGTGACCTCTTCCTACTTCTTCTAGTAGATATGTTAAAACAATCAGTTGACTTCTTGTAAAAAAAAGTTACTTATTTCTCAAATGTTAGTACTTAATTAAAAATCAATTAAAAACTGATTTTTGACTTTGAAAGAGCAAGAGTTTAAAACATATTACTCCTCTTTCACCTATCCAAACCTATATTATTTTTATGTAAGTCCAGTAATGTTTTGCATTTAGTGAACTACAATCTACAGTGGTCCCATTTGCCAGAGCAATTCTGTAATTACTTTGGTATCTCAAGTAGACAACAACTGTATTAAACACCTACTGCGTGCTAAGAGTTTGCAATAGAAAGTATATAATGTATGATTTGTAGCTTTTTAGATGCTTTTAGTCTTGTTAGGGAAGCAAACATTGGCAGTCTAAGTTAAGTGACATATAAGATAGCATTATCACTTGCTCCTTGAATGATAGACGGTAGGCATCATAAGCTCACAGTTTTATTACTTATGAAAATGAAATCTAAGAATACTGGTCCAAAAAAAAAAAAAAAAAGAATATCGGTCAAGAAAATGTTCTGTTACCAAATAGTAATTTCATAATATTTGGCAAGTGATAAAAAACTGGAATGTATATACCATAAAATTGGGTTGAAACAAACAAGAGGATTTGAGAATGGCAGTCTTCCAGTGGACAGAGTTAAATATACTAAAGCCTTTTCACATTAATAAGCTATAGTTATTTAAATATCTTAATCTGTGTGGTAGCTAATTTTGAGGATTAATCTTTCCTTTATATAATTTTCAGGTCTTTGCCTCTGTAATGAAGGATATTAAAGAAGGAGACAAGAATAATAGTCCTGCTTTGAAAAGCTAATCTTCAAAATTAAGACTAAATGTAATGTAAAAGATGTTTTTTTGATAAAAGTTTTTTGTTTCCTATGTAAAAAACATGGAAGAAAATGTTGGAGAAATCTAAACGAATCAAGACATGGGAAAGTGCTGATTTTGAATTCCATGACTGAAGTTAATGAAATGAGTAACTGATTGACAGTATTAATAAAAAAGTATTTTGTAGAGAGCCCTTTTACAAAGGAAAAAGTTTAAATGGCTAGTTCATACTCCATAATTTGGAGTGAACGGTTTAATGCAATAAACTTTTTTAACAGCTTTGGAGATTATTCAAATTTTTACATCTTTTCTTTCTTAACAGTTACATTAAAAGCACTTTGGAGGTCAGAGCAGATTGTTAAATACTACTTTAACTTCCAAAATACTATTTGAAATAAACACCTTAGTACAAACATTGTCTCCAGTTCTGACCTTTTGAAGATATTAGAGACCAAGAGTAAGCAACTTTGATTGTAAATTATTTAAGTCATTGAAGTCATTACCTTCACTCACAGGTTGGGGGAAGTTTGGGTTTTCTGGGAACTGGAAATACTGGTGGGAGCTTGTTTCACATTCAATTAGATGTTTTCCACAGTATCATGTCTGTCTGTTTCTGAAGGGAAATTGTTTCTTAGGGAATTCCTGTCACTCAGAGAATTTTAGCCTTTGTTTCTAGTGTAAGAAATTGTTCTATTACTAGAATTATTAAATTCATCTAGTAATTTAAGAAAGCTAACTGGTAGAAGGAAAGTTCTTTGCACTTTAGTGGACTGAAGACTTGATTTTGGAAGTAAGTCCATAAATATCAATGAGATTTTTCACTGGTAAGAGTAAAACATATGAATTCTGAGAGTTCTTAAATAGCATGCTACTTGGCAAGATGTTAAACTTCTTAGTTGAAATTCCTTCACTGTCTGTAGAAACAAAATTTAATTCCGTTTTAAATTTGAAATCTTAATATGTAGCCAAGTCTATGACTTGTAAAACACTGTGCATAATTTTCTAATCAATGGAAATAAGAGTAAAAGAAAAAGATAAAATTAACTTTTTTCTAACAAGTCTAACTTTGATGGTATAGTGGATAAAGAAATTATTAATTATTGGTAAATTCATATGAAATTTATTATATTATGTTTAATCCTTGAACCTAAATCACTTGAGTATTATAAGTGATAATCTGTATAACATGCTCTTTTGTTAATAATTAGATGTACAGTGTGCTTTTATGTTGCAGTTTGGTTTAAAACAAATCTTAAGCATACTATTTCTGGTAGCAGTATGTAGTCTTCAAACTAACAAGCCTGAGAACCTTGTTAGTTCAGTGACTGCCTCTTTAGGAGTATGGGACCAGATGGTGTCCATATATTTTTACCCCATGGGTCATTCTAGCCTAGGGACCACTAGTGGAACCCTCAGAAGTTAACTCCTATCTTTGGAGCTTACTTAGTGGAAACTAGTAGTGTAATAATATTGAGGGAGTATCCAGGGTCTTAATAGGTTTTAGAATGACATTTTAACTCTGGTAACTACTTCCTTGGTATTGGTGGTCCTGGTAACAGGGAATGTAACCGCTGGCAGTAATCTCATTGAAGTTATACTACCTACCTAAATTTAATCTTACTTTTGTGTATTTGTTTCCTGAGTTGACCTAAATTACTGTATTACTTTTTCTCATTTTTATTATTGTACAGTTTCTTTACCTTTCAAATATAAATGTGTATATAAAATGTAAATACAAGGAATTCACTAAAAACCACTATTAATAATTACTGTGTAAATAAAACTTGTAAGCAGAGTAATTACTTGAAATGAGTGTTCATTACTTTGGGGATAACTGGTTTATTTTACCACATTTGGAGGAAAAGAATAACCTTTTTTTTTTTTTGCCAAATTTCTTCTTCAGGGGATATTTTTAGTCCTTCAGCCTCTTGAGACTGACCATACTGGCAGTTCAAATATTGTACTGTATCTTCCTTTGAACCTACTCTACAGGCAATATAAGGTTGTTTTACATGGTCAGTGTATGATAGGTTGTTTGGTTTTCAGTTAAAAAATAAGTTTTCCTAAAAATCTCCAAGATTATGTAAAATTTAATATGTATAATGTTTCGTTTGTCTACTTAATATATATATTATATGTATATTATATATATATAATATATATATATTATTTCTCATTTTATGTCCTTTCAGCCAGGTATACCTTGTATTATTTAAGTGGTACTTAGAAGATCCCAGTAAGTAGCATAATTTTCTTTTTTTTTTTTT